ATCATACACATTTATTTCTGAAACACCACATATAATACAGATAATACCATAAATATCTTACTTTTCTCCAATATGTCACCCAGCCCATTTCCTACTCGGTTACCTGAAATTAGAAAGATTCATTCTATCTTCAGCATCAGTCTGTAACAAACTGTTCATCATTTCCCATATAATACTATATAATACAGTACTGTGCAAAAGTCTTAGGCAGGGAAAGACAATGATGTTTAGATTATCCTTGTGTTGGGGTAAAACTATGATATTATGCCTGTCAAAGTGTGTCAGCTTAGCCATTTCAGAACCTCTGCTAAAATCACCCCAGTATTTGCAGCAACCGTCCAGTACAGCCATATATTTTTTGACTTAGCACACCTCAAACAGCTAGTCAATCTGTCACTGACTTTTTAAACCAATTTATTTTATTATTTAATTGAGCTGTTGGTGAAATTTAACAAAATCATGGAACGGCTGAGGTGCCCCTGAGGAGATGTTTGGGAACAGAAGCGGTGTTCATCTAGACATCCAACTAGATATCAGTAACTTTTTAGAAAACAGAAGACATTATTACTAGTTTTTATTGTGTTAATCTTAATTTGCACATGTTCTAATGTTAAATTGTGTTTTTTGTTCTAAGTCAAAGTACACTTGCTACCCAGATAAACAGCTTTAAACATTTCTTTGGACTGCCTAAGACTTTTGCACAGTACTGTATATGCATTTAAGAGCCTAAAAATTTTATATGAAAAACAAGAAAAGTTAAAAGCATGATTACACTTCTGCAGGTCTTCATTCAGTCTCTCATCAAGGTCATTCAAGTTCATATTCTTCAGGATTTCAAGTGTGACTTCAAGAGCATCAGCTTCCATGTAGTAACTTATCATCCTGTCAGCGAGGTCTATTCTATCCAAGTGCTTCACCTGACCCCTGGGAAGGGGCTTTAATACTTTATACTTTGTGTGACTCAGTTTCCATTTAAACTCCTTCAACTCATCATCATCGAGCTCCTTCAGATACTCCAGCAAGAGGTTGGGGAGTGAGGTCTGGGTCTGCAGAATGTCAGAGATGAGTCCATGAGATCTCACAGACCTCTTTATGGTCACTCACACATATGCACTGAACTTTCCGTTAACAGAAGTCAGTTTTCCTGCTCACAGTCTTATGTGGCTGCTGAAGACCTGCAATGTTTTTTCATTACTATAGGAGACACATGTGTGTGTCGTGTAGGCAAGCAGGCGAGTGGGGAAGCAGGTGAGTCAAGCCAGTAATACGGGCAAACGGGGTTTGAGAGATCCACAGGACAACAAGAGACGAACATCAATGACAGATCTGGGGAAACTAACTCAGACGCTATCAAATACACAGGATAGGCAGAAAACAACAGGCAACAGGTGATGAAAATCAGGAATTAACATGAGCGATGGACGAGACGAGACCGCGTAAACAGGACCTGGAAGACAGAAACAAGAACATCAACGGGGCACCGGAAACAGGACGGAAACACAGAACAGACACAGAGGCAGAAACCACGACAAGATATGACACAGAACGGGAAACGCAGACAGACAGACCAGGAAGGGAGACACAGGGGGAACACCGACAGGCGGAACAAAAGGGCCAGGAGTGAACGAAGGAACCAGAGGGGGACGAGGAGCAGAGACAGGAGGGACAAAGGGACAAGGAGCAGACAAGGGAGGCCAGACAAGAACAGACGGGGGACAAAGGGGAACCCAAGGGAGCCAAGGTGGGCGGCGGCCGGAGGGGCCGCAGGCGACAGGGAGGCAGGAGCAGGAGGGGAGCACGCAGGAGGCAAGAAGACAGGCCGAGGAACAGATGAGGGGGACAAGGAGGGAGTCAGAGGGGACACCAGCGAAGGCAAGGAGGAGGGGGAAGCCGCAGCAAGCGACGGCGCAGCCATAGACGGCAAAGGCGGCGTCCGTAGACGCGCCGGAGCAGGAGGACCCGTAGGCGACCGACGAGGAGTCGGAGGCGGGACCGAGGCCAAGCGCCTAGGCATTGGAGGGGAACCCGCAGGCGTCTGCCGACCCGGAGCCGCAGGAACCGCAGGTGCCCCCCGAGCCCCAGCCAAAGCAAGCGAGGGCGAGCCAGGGAGCCACTGGAGCCGCTTCTCCATCACCCTGTCGACGAGCTTCCGGAGGTTTTCACGCACTTCCACCATTACATGTGCTTCCGTGAGCGGGGTTACCTCCTGAAGGCGGGTCCCGCTCCGGCTGGCTAAATCCAGTAGTCCGGGGTCCTCCCGGACCTCCAGCTGGTGAAGCCAGTAGATCACCTCTTGCAGCAGACGGATACGCTGGTCCTCCGTCTGCTGCGGTGATTTTTCACAGAGATCCGTCATTCTGTCATGTAGGCAAGCAGGCAAGCGGGGAAGCAGGTGAGTCAAGCCGGTAATACGGGCAAATGGGGTTTATTGAGAGATCCACAGAACAATGAGAGACGAACATCAATGACGGATCTGGGGAAACTAACTCAGACGCGGACTAAATACACAGGATAGGCAGAAAACAACAGGCAACAGGTGATGACAATCGGGAATTAACATGAGGTAACGAGGTAAATCGAGGAGTAAAATCATTACTCAGCTTAAGCTTCCCTGCCTTTCAGTGTCTGGTATTTATGGACAAAATGCATCAAATGTCGAAAAGCTGTAGTCAAACCTCTTGATGAGCCATTGCTTAGATGTTTATGGCTGTAAGGAAACCAGGTCCTGTGTATCAGTCTGACTCTGTAATGAAAACCAAAAGTAATGTTAGCTTTATATTCAAAAGTCAGTTTAGCAGCTGTAATATCTTACAACCAAAGCAAACTGGGCAGTTTACATTGCATGTTCCTTCAGTATTCAATGGGTACTTTGGAAAAGAAACTACAGTGGTACCTCAGAACTCAAATATAATCCGTTCAGAACTCTGGATCGAATCCTAAAAAGTTCGAGTTCTGATCGAATTTTCCCCATAAGAAATAATGGAAACCAAAAACTTACACCTAAATTTTATGTATTTTTTTTAGCATTTAAACACAAAATGAACCGGATAAAACAAGAAGAGCATATACTGTACTAAATACATCTAAGCACATTTATCAAAAGAGTAATTATTTTAATTTTTTTTTTATGGGAAGAGATAAACAACTTCAAACTGCTTTATTTCAATGACAACTTTCGAAAAAAAAACATGTGGCAGTTTTGTTTATGTGTTAATGTTGCTAATTCTATAGACTGACTGACTAAAAGTAGACGGTAGCTTACTATGTCATCTTCATGATCATCGTCATTATCATCTCTGTTTAATGTGAAATACTCAGTAATAAGAAACATCAAAGTTATGATGAAACATAATTATTGTCAATGGGCATTCTTTTAAAATATTCTTATGATTATAAGAAAGGTCAGTACTGTGGTTATTATATAAGATTATCAATATTGTGCTGCTTTTTTCTGCTTGTTTCTGCTTAGCATTTGTTACTAAGTTAGCTCCTTGATAGATGTACACTTGTGTTTTTATCTGCTTGACTTGTTCATCACTTAGGACTAAAGTGTCTGCTAAATAATAAATGTAAATGTAAATAAATGTATGCTTGCAAATCTCACACACACTGCATAATCCTCTTTATGAGATAAGAAGAGTAAGCTAAGCTAAACCAAATCAATACAAACAATATTCAAATTAGATACATAAATGAAATGGATTTTACTAAGTAGTGGCATGAACCAGAGATTTATTTATTTAATTTTTTTTAATATTCCCTCCACCACCCCCCCTCTGTGGAGGACTACTTTATTAGTATTTATTTATTAATTTTTATTTTATTAATTAATTAATTAATTTATTTACTTCCTCCCTCACGAGAAGGAGAGGGAGAGAGAAGGGGGGAAACAAAGGAGAAGAAGGGGGAAAGAGAGAGGGAGAGAGAGGAGAGAGAAAAAAAAAGAGAAAAGAAAAAAATAAAACAGATAATCTGCTTCCATGTCTGCTGAAGAGAGAAAGACAACATACAACATCTGTACTAATCACAACGACCATCAAACGTTAAATGTTGTTGAACAGCACACACAACCAGCATTACAACACATGCCCAGAAGCAACAGCCGATCAAGACAGTGTGTGTCCGTGAGCACGTGTCCGTGAGCACCTGTGTGCACAACTGTGTGTGTCAGCGCGCTGGTGTTCATAAGGTTTCTCCATATAAATGTCTAGTAGTGTGTGTGGGCAGCCACAGCCCCGCCCACCCAGGACATGAAGCCGACACGGAGCAGACCCGGGCCCCAGACATCCAGAGGCCCCCCAGGGCACGGGAACCCTAGGAGGACCATTGCAGGGACAGTTGCAGCCCCCACCCAGAAAAGGGCAGAGGAGCGCTCCGGAGGGGGGCCATCCAGCAGCCACATCGCAGGAGCCCCAGGGGGCCGTGGCGGCGAGCACGCAGGCTCCGCCGGGCGGCCGGCCACACCAGGGCAGACCGGACCCCGGGCCCAGAGATCCAAGGGCCCCCCCACCCCCCAGCCAGGGCCCGACAGAGCCGGAAGGACCAGGCCCCGACAGGCAACCGCTGAGAGTGAGCCAGCACACACCAGAGCATCCAGCCCCGGACATCGAAAACCACCAACGCATCGGCAGCCAGGGACCTCATCCACCGGCAGGGAGTGTGGCGGGGGGCAATAGAGCCTGAGATGTTATTTCAGGTGGAGTCTAAGACTCAACCTGAAACATGCATATAGACAAACAGGCGCACACATACACAAGCATACATTCCCACCCTCATGCACACATAAACAAATATTCACCCATTCGCCCAACATGGAGGCACACAGAAATGAACACCGTACACACACTCACACTCCCCATATATGTTCTATACTCCGAGATCCAGGCACCACCACCCCCAGAGGGGCAATCTGCCACCAGACCCCGGAGATGGACCCCTTTTTTCCTCTGGCGTGGGGACAAGAAGACAGCAGCCGAAAAGCCCACCAGCCAAGACCCCATGCCTCCCTCCACCCACTCAGATGTGGTGTTGGTGTGTGTTGTTCTAAAGTGCTTTAAAACAGGGGAAGGGCAGGGCGCTAACCACCCTCTGGCAATCAACAGCTGGTGTCAGATCGGCCCCTCACCAGAACCCTCAGTGTCTATGTGCAACTTAAAATTGAGAAGTGGGCACTGGCACCAGAGGTAAGGCTGAATGAACAGACCGCCCTCTGGACGCCATTCCGTGTGCCCACCCCCAAGGCCCTAAATGTATGTGTCATGATAGAGAAAGTAATGAGAGTGTCTAAGTTGTGGTGTATGATTGAGATACAGGTGGTCACAAGGAATACCTCCCCTGCATCCCAGCGACGCACCTGCACCTCAAAGCCCTATATGTGTGTTGGTGTGATGGAGCGGGAGGAGGGAAGCATTTAGGGATGGGGAGGAAAGGATCGGGGGGGGCAAAGTACCCCCCCTCTGGAGCCAGCTCCCCCGCTGACCCCCATAAGCACCCGTGTTCCCCGAAATCCACCCAGGGCGGGGGGCCCAGGCCCATCCAGTCCGGGGCCCAGAGCAGCGGCACCACCGGGCACCAGGCACCAGGCACCCCCCGCAGAGTGGATACCCCTAAGGCAGGGACCACCTGCGGACAGATGGTAACAACCTCCCCCAGCCCCTCCAACGCGCCGAAGGCCCCTGCGCCAGGGTCGGGCCCCAGTGCACGCGCCAACCCACACCAAGGCGACACACCCACCAGGACCCAAGCCCCCCCAGCCCAGCCGGAACCCCAGCCCGGAGGCAGAGACACCCCCAGAACCCCAAGGCCGCCCCGGACCCACCCAGGAGCAGCACGGCCGCCAGGCCGGTAACCTACGTCCGCCGGCACAGGCTACCCCAGCAGCGCTGCATGCAGCCGCCAGAAAGACACCACCCAAGAGCCACCAAAGCCCCATCCAGGCCAGGACCGCACTCCCAGCGCCGAACCCCCCCAGAAACCCACCCCCAGGGAACCCCCAGACGCCCCAAGGCCATATGCCCCCCCCCACAGCAACAACATAGACCGGAGCGGGACAAACCTATGACCCCCCACCGCAACTAGGTGATGGAGCTGATCAAAGGAGCCCAGAGAGATTGGTCTAATGTGGTGGCAGAAGCTGTATCAAGACTAATATGGTCCAGCAAACTCTCTCTAAATTGGTTGATATTAAGATTATTTTTATTTTTCCAGTTCATGAGGACAGTCTTCTTAGCAATGCATAAAGTGGTGAAAGCCATGTGGATTGTGTAAATCTCTGTAGTGACACCATCTAGGTCGTCCAACAAGCAGATTGAAGGAGAGGCTGGAATGGAACATTTCAGACACTTTGATAAGTCCTCACAAATCCTGCGCCAGAACATCTGAGCAGGTGGACAGAACCAAAGAGCATGGATGTAACTGTCAGGTGTATCCCCTTGACAGTGTGAGCAGTTGTTAGAAGACGTAAAACCCATCCTGAACATCCGATGCCCTGTATAGTGCACTCTATGCAGGATTTTGTATTGTATTAATTGTAAACTGGGACTTCTAATCAGTTGTATACTGTATGTCTTAGACCAGAAATTGTGGTCCCGGTTGATTGATAAATATGCCTCCCATTTTGCAATAGGATATTGATTCATCCATTTTCGAAAGTGTCCTGTATATTTTAGACAGTAATTTGGGGGTTTTGAGATTAAGGAATTCTGCCACACTTGGTGGTATTTGTAATTTGATTTGATTAGACTTGAATTTCCTTTTTACTATAGATTTAACTTGTTGATATTCTAAAAATCTATTCTTGTTAATCCCATATCTTTTAACTAATATGTCAAAGGGGATAAAGTCTATTTCTTCGAATATATGTTCCAAGTATTTAATACCTTTACAACTCCAATCCGGGAAATTTATCATACTATTGTTTAGTAGTACGTCAGGGTTGTTCCAGATGGGAGTACGTTTGCATGCGATTAATGGAGACGCAGTCATTTTTAGAAACTCCCACCACGCTGTCAGAGAAGAGCTGATACTGATGCTTTTGAAGCATTCGTGTCGTTTAATGTTTGAGCTAATGAATGGTAGATCTGAAATCTCTATGTTATTGCATAGTGCCTGTTCTACGTCTAGCCAAGGTTCATCTAAGAGGGTATGTTTTAGCCACCCTGAGATGTTTTGAAGCCTGTTGGCTAAGAAGTAGTGGTGAAAGTTAGGCAGATCTAGTCCTCCATTGTCCTTGGTCCTTTGCAGCGTTTTTAAGCTAATACGCAGGGGTTTACCTTTCCAAAGGAATTAAGAGATGGCGGAGTCCAGAGATGTAAACCGGTCAGATGATGGTTGGCTTGGAATCATTGCAAATAAATAATTAATTCTTGGTAACAAGTGCGCTATCTAGGTGTTCAGAGAGTGCAGTAAAGAAAACGTGGAAGAACGAAGGGTTATCAACATTTGGACCATATATACTAACAATACATAACTTTTTTTTAAGTATAGATAATTTAATGATTATAAATCTACCCTCTGGATCTATAATTGTGTTGAGTACTGTGAAATTAACATTTTTATGTATTAAAATTGCTACCCCCCTTTGCCTAGAGTTATAACAAGCTGAGAACACATTAGGAAACTCAGGTGTTTTAAGTTCATCTTTAGCTGTGGCAGGGCTATGAGTCTCTTGTAATAAAACAACGTCTGCCTGTAGTTTTTTAAGCTGGCTAAATATTTTTAACCTCTTCTCTCTGGAGCCAGCTC